CCTCTCTCTCTCTCTCTCTCTCTCTCGCTTGCTCGTTGCCTGTTAGGCACGAGGGAATATTGCAAGGTATTGAAGAGAGAAGAACGGGAAGAGGAAGAGAGAAAGGAAAAGGAAAGGCAGGAAGGTACAGGAAGAAGAAAAAGAGAATTGTAGAATTCCACTAGTATTCTCTATGTCCAAGTCTGTCGAATTCTCTGTATTTTGCAAAATGCCCATGCACTTCTCCTGATTTCCACAGAAGCAGCTTCCAGGTATATAATGGTACAGAGTCATATAATCTATATATTTCATAGATGATAGCAAAAGTCAATTGCCGATTTTCCAGAAAAACAGGACCTTCAATGTTTCTTGGGGCCGGGGATGGAGCCCCAGAAGAGACTTGAGGGACATGGAAATGGGTTCATTGCTATCCGCTTTCAGTATAATCAGAGACAAGGATCTTCCCTTTTTTTGCAAACATGGCCGTCAAAGGTGTACAGATTACCGCTTATACACAGTACTTAAGTTATGGCTCGAGCTCAAGCTTCCGGCGGGGGGTTCCCGTTTCAAGCAACAAGACAAGGGTCCCAGAGGCCTCTTGATTGGCGTCACCGCGGGGTGGCATCTTTTTCCTTCTTCTTTTCCATCCTTTCCCTTTCCGTTTCGCCTGGGTGGGCATGTCACATATGACGTCAGTCTGGCCGTTGGACGAGGGTCCAAACATGGATATCGGGGAACTCCAGTCTACGAGTGTAGCTTCAACTTTCCCTCAATGGACCCTGATCGTCGTAGTTACCATGGCAGTCCACTTGGTTGACGATATGTAGAATTTTTTTTTTTGTCCATGGGTGTTTCGCATCTCGCTGTTTGGTCGATTTCAGGGACACGGGAACAGAAAAGAAGAAGAAGATCAAGGCCTTTTCGCATTCTCTAGCTTGTTGAACGCTAGACAAGAGTCTTGTTGTCGTGACATCTCCATATATACGATGAAACAACTACTAAAACATTGACCATTGGCTGGCCAGGACATCACATGCTCGTTTGTTCATATTGGGAGTATCCGTGTTGCCATGTGAAGTACTATTTTGGCTATACGTACTCACTTCCATGACTAAAGATACTAGACACGCGGGACGAAAAGGATGGGAGAGAAGAAAAGTGCCCAGAATTCAAGCTATTTGGACTGAAACTGTACCACTCTGGCAGTACTTCATCTGCCGCTAAAGCTTGTACAGAATCAACGGCTTGTAGCTCACCAAAGTCCCTGGCGATCCTAATTATACTTTGCTTCCAATGTCTTTCTCTTCTGCTTCTTTATTCTCTTGAGCGCTCAGGGTTATCGCGACTTTATGGACTGCCTCCTACTTGTCTCGAGCACTGGTCAATACTTGTTACGCTCGCCTCGACCAAAGAAAGGCTGCCTTGTCAACACATGGCAGGAAAATAGCGAGTATTCCCTTCTATCGCAACAAGACAAACTAAACCTCCACCAATGTATCAGGGAGCCCCCAAAAGTCGTTGCTGCTTTGCTGATCCATTCAAGCACGATTACGTAGGTAGTGCCTCGGGGGAGCCCACCCAGGTCCTCGGGTTTTGATGCGCTGCGTGCCAAGCCTGACGTTTCTCACCCGGAATCAGTACAATCCGGGTCTAGTTTGGTCAACGTACCTATCTACCGTCCATCCACATTAACCTCTCCAGGCTCTAGCTACGCATGTAAATAAAGGTCATCATCACTCTCTATTTTGTGCAAAGGGAAATATTAGCTGCGAGCGATTTCCTACTGGAGACAGGAAAATAAAACAAACAAAAAGTCTCGCCCATATTTCGAGGCTGCGACAAGATACATTGTTTCCACGAGCCAGGAAATTCATCTCTATAAATCCCTTCTCGTGCACAGTGGTGGAACGCCGACGCAACTCTTGATTGACGGGATAATCACCACGTACGGTAATGACGACGACCCTTTGCTGGTCAGTCATACGCTCAGGACTGTAATGCGAGCTGGCCAAGACTCGTTCTCACATCACACTTATTATTATCATCACCCAACGGTATTTGACCAAAGACGACTCAGCCGAGTCCCATGCCGCAGTAATCCTTCCTCGGGTTTCCTCGTTTGCTATAGATAGAATAAACCTTGGGGGCGTGACTTTGTATTCCGATCATGGGGAAAATGCCTTTCCATTCTCCCAATATGTAAACCCTTTGCGCCACGCCATGATGCTGAAAAAGGATGCTGATGCTGTTCTAAATAACAATCGCAACAACCCGGGTTCCATTACGCCAATGTGCCAATGCAGATATAATCACCCCAATGCTGCTCATCTGTCTGGACCAGTCTGGGGTAGCCAAGAAGCTCAAAAGAAGATGCAGGAAACTAAACTTGAAAACAAACAAGAGCAGAATAGTAACCAGACTCATCCCACATGAGGTATTACCGCCACCTCGATAAACCTTGCATAAGCCGTTTGCCTTTCATGTTGGCCAGCCAGGTTCTTTCCTAAACTGTTGGTGTTGGCGGAGAGTCTGACAGCTTCGACCTGTTCATCCGCCTCGGCGGTGGAGCCTTTGGAGGAAGCCTTTTCGCCGGCATACTAGTCCCGTTGCCGTTGGTCGTCATGTGGACTGCAACAGGTAAAGGATTGCCATGTCTAGACTTGGTGGGTAGTTCTGGCAGCGGCCTCCTTTGCCGCCTGGTTGGAGGGGGAGGTGCCGCTTTGGAGTCTCTCCGAAATGGCTGTGCCTCAACCTCCGGCGAGGAGCCGGCATCCGAGGATGTGATCTCGTTGGCTTCCACGTCGTCCTTTCGACTGGGCGTCTGGACGCCTGGTTTCTCGGACACGGCAGCCACGTCAACAACACTCATCTTGCTGGCCGATTCGTTGGACGCCAGGCTAATGCCCAAGAGTTTCTTTGCAATTTCCCCCGCGCCGGCGCCGTTCTCGGCCAGCCACTTCACCTTGGATACACGATCGACAAGTCTTGCTGTCGTTTCGTCCGGCGGCGCGAAATGGTAGCTTCCTGTGCCGGCAAGTATGTTGAGGACCTTGATGATCTCATCCCTCTTGTAATGCGGTGGCTGACTGAGCTGCGTATGTGCCAGCAGCGGATACAGCACGCGCAGATAGGTGTGCCGCAGTGACAGATATTCGTTTGGAAGGTCGAGGAGATTCCGGATAATGACGTCGAGCAGAACACGTAGATCATTTGTGTAGAAGTATTCATACGTTGCCTTGGTGGTGAAGAGCAGGTAGAGCAGCTTCAGGATGAGCAGCTGCAACGATGTCTCGGTTTCGCGATTCAGGAGCAGGATGAGGTTCTCGCCAAAAGTGCGATACATTGGGCCGTAAAGGGAGAGACATTTGACAACACGGTTCGTCAAGGCAGCGCTGGGCGATTCTGGGCTCATGGCCGCAGTTGTGGAAGCCACCATGTATTGTTCGTTCAGAACAAGCAGGACGCGGATTATGGGATAGTGATAGGGGTCGTGAGCGTCGTCGGATAGACCCTCAATGAGTTGGAAGAGATAGGTGACAAAGCCGTCGTCGACGTGCAAAAGATCCTCGACGCGGAGCTTTTCGACACGCGACATCTCATACACAAGCTCGAGAAGTAACCGGTGAAGACTCGGGTCGTCTTGTTCGTGCCCATTGATCAGCTCGAGCAGACGGTGAAAGCAGCCCTCGTCTATCATTCGGCGGTATGTGGTATCTTCGACACGGCCGTCCAGCAGCAGGAAGCTCGCAATGATGTAGAGGGGGCCAGCCTCGTCTTCCTCGAGCAGACTGTAAATGATTTGCATGCGAACATATTCAGGATTCGCATGGAAGAGGCTGCCCTCCAAGAGTTTCTGGGAACAGCCTGCGACATCATCCTCGGACTGTGAGAATTCGTCACGGCACTTGGCAGCGAGGCACAACCATGATCGGAGCGCATTGTCAATTGTTTCGTGGGCGTGGTCAGGACATTGTGTCGCAACAACTTGGTCAATTTCTATGAGGATCAACAATTCGTTAGCCTACTAGTATTTGGCGGCAGTCTATTGAGTCGAGCAGTCCCAAACTACCACATGGAGACTTCTTTCTGTGAATGGTGGCAGGCCATGCAGGCAGGACATGGAGAGGAGATTTGGTCACGTTTGGGAGTGCAGATACGTACCGTCCCACAGCTGTTGTTCCGCCTCTATGGTATAGGACGTGTCCGAATCGGCCATGTTGGTGGTTGTTTGATCATGAAATGGTTGAGCGCCAGAATGTCCAGGCGCATCACGATTGCGACTCTCGGCTTCTGAACAATGAAGTAGCGCCAAACAAGAGAAGCGAGGTGACCTGTGAGCGAGCTGCCTGGGAACTTGGACAAAGCGTGCCGATGCGATGCCCTCCCCAGCTCACTCGGTCTTGCAAACAGTGCCGTTTTGGTGCTGGTGAACAAGGAAACCAAGACTCTGGTATCACCTCACCCACAGTAGTAGCGGTTAGTTATCTGACCTACAGAGTACGAGTTGATCAATTGCCATCCCCTCCTTGAGTGCGGGACAGAAATTCTGGACACTCGACTTCAGCCGAAAGTTGGGGAAGACTGAAAAGACGGGGGAAGATTTT